ATTGCTTTGCTATTCAGCCAATAGTAGATCGCTCTAGCCCATAAAGGGTTAAAAAGCAATATGTATGCCACAGAGAATCTACTTCCCTCCAGAGCTGTGCAATGGTGATATTCTTCCCCCCAAAATAAATGACAATGCAACCAGAAGTGGCACATAAATTAAAGTGGCAGCATGATTGATGACTCAGAGAACAACAGAAAGGGTGTTTGCATCGCTTTTTTGTAGAGCTAGGGGATATGCAAGAACACAAACACACACATATATTCCCATGCACGTTCACACAAACACATATAGACACACAGATAATACAAGAACAATCATGCACACGCTCACACACACACACAAAGTTCAGACACCATTCGCCATGCATAACCACATCAATCCAAAACCCTCTGCAACATCCTAAAATACACCCTTGAGAGCTAAGCAAGGGGGAAAATTACAACAGACAAAGTGTGTCAGTGTGTGTGTACTGTGTACCCAAACCCTAGATCCTCTAAATGAGCTCCATGCAATATTAAAGGATGCAAAATTAGTCTGCAAGTGAGGATGTGCTTGGAGCACCGTTGGTGACTGACCTACCAAGGGCACCATGGGAAATAAGCAGACTGGGCATGCAATTGTAACACAGACCAGTGGATATTGTTTCCCTTACCAAACCTATCCATCACTTACTCCACAACATGTTAATTCTCCTCTAGACCATGAGCCATCCACAGGGGATACCTATACAACCAGGGGGGACAGTGGACATATTGACCATATTACCATGGCAACCATTTACAACCTACAATCTCGTCAAACTCTGGGTGTGTTTTACATGGTCACTACTTTAATGTAGGGAACCAATAGTCTACACATGGATTTGGATATGGGACACTAATTAACAATTCAATAAACACTGATGTGCAAAGTGCAACACAATTCTGGAGCAGGACATCAGCAAAACACTGGATATCTCCGAGTATCTTGACTCAGCATTTGTTCTGATTAGCCATCATTCCATATTTCTTTCCCACCCCAAATGTGACGCACATTCAAAATGGCAACCATGGGACTAATTTCAAAAATATTCTTGAACACTGACCTCAGTACTCATGTTGCAACAGACAGACTGATGAAAAACTCATGAGTTAGTGCTTATAACAGCATGCATGTGAAACAGGTTATCTGGTTTTAAGTCTTTCAGGGCAAGTCCAAGTCAAGTCTCAAGTCATTTGAGAAGTCCACATCCAGTCTGTAGGAGCTAGTGTCACATCAAGGCTCAAGGCATGTAGAACATGCAGTTCTACATTCTGGGTTAAATTAATAGTGTTTTTACACAGCTGCATGAGGCCAAGTTCTTTCACTGCATAGGTCATATAAGTAAATATTCAAGATATGTTGCCATGCAAGGCTATATTGTAAGTTAGTAAGTAAGTCAAGCCCCATAGAAAATTAAATCCCAGCCTTAAATCCTACTTTTTGTGACTTTAATATGTTAATAAATAAATATTACAACAACTACAACAAAGTGCTGGGAAGGACTAGACTCTGATGGCATCAACGCAAGTAAACTATTGGAAGTCTTTAATGGGGACCACAGAGGGTGGTGGTAGGGAGTATTACAGGCTGAGGTTGGAGGAGCACTTAACACCGCAGGAGACTGTTCCAGGTTGTGGGGGTGTGCGGTGTTAACGAAGGGGGCAAGTCAGTATGAGATCAGCCATCACCTTGGAACATGACGGGGTCCGGTTTTACTGCAGCTCTTAGCGCCACTGAGGTGGCTAGATAGATAGATAGATAGATAGATAGATAGATAGATAGATAGATAGATAGATAGATAGATAGATTACTCATGAGGCTGTGTACATTACATGTCTAAATCACGGTGGGAGAAGGCAGGAAGAATGAGCAGTGAGAAAGAGCAGGGTAGAAGAAGAAGAGGTGGAGGGCGAGTGTACAGTCCAGCGCTGTCTTTTATAGCCCCATTCCAGCAGATGAGCAGCATCAATCTTTACCTCGCCACTGGGATAAGACCTGGCTGCTGTTATCAGCAGGCTGGGGGGCTGCAGTGGGGTGGGAGGGCGGATATAAAACACACACAGACACTAACACACACTGTACATGCATGTCTGCAGAGAGACAGGAAAACACACACAAACTGTGCACATACAACACAGTCTATACTTTCACACACAGAGACACTGGAAATTATTTTTATATACCACTATTTTGTGTTTTCGATATATCATTAAGGCAAACATAATTCATACCAGGATTAGGTTCTGTGGTAATGTTTTCCAGTCTTGTACCAGACACAAGCATGGGAATCGGACGCTGAAGACTGCGGTTCGCATCCCGAGTACTGTGTGTGGTTAGGTCTATAGGCAACAAAAACACTTTGGTTCAGGTTAAGGAAAGATTGTGGTTTTGGTTAAATGTTGATAAAATAAACATGCCCTGTCTCATGCTTCAAGTCACTGTTGACTTCAACATTAAACTTGTCAATATTAAATCAAGACAAGAATCTGTCACTAACCTTAACCAAGTGCTGGGAGTCCCAACCATGAAAAATGTTAATCATGCTTGAGATGTGGATATTGTATTACAAGAAGATATATTATGGGGAAAACAAAATGAAACACAGTGTCAGTGAACATTTTGCAACATGGCAGAATTAAAATGTTTTGTAATTATGCTCATAAAAAAATGCATTTGAGCGCCATTGCATTTCTCTCACTGCAAATTTCTAATATATAAACACATTTTCAAGGAGACAGCACTGCTCTGTCTCACATACACACACACACACACACACACACATGTTCCTGTAAACAGACATACAAAATGAGAAGAAGACAGATGTACAAACATGCAGCTCACTGACACATACTCACACACAGATTTCAGCAATAGACAAATGAACGAATGAATCACGTGAGTGTCATTTTCAAGCACAACACATGTTTAGTCAAGAACATACATTCTCATTTTTTCTACATTTGCCTTAAGACACTTTTGTGTACGCGTGGCAAATTAATAAAGTAAAAGAGACGTTGGTGTTGGTGTGTGTGTGTGTGTGTGTGTGTGTGTGGTGGTGCGTGGGGGAGGGAGGGAACCAACACACAGCAAAATAGAAAATGTTTTGAATTATACATTGCTGCCATCAGTGACAAATTGAGAGAGGGATTCGTCATAAATCATAAGCATGCTGCGCTGCCTACCAAGAGAATTGCTTGGTGGGCAGCAGCCTGAGATTTAGGAGTGTGTTGTTGCCTAGTCTGGAGCCGCAGCCTGCAGCCACACCTCGACCAGCTACTCCCTATGAGATATATGTTATGTTCCACACATCTGAGCTGACAAGAGGAAAAGTCTTGTTCTTGTTTAATTTTTTCTGTGGCGCTCTTTTGTCACCACAGCAGTCTATCTAGTTATTGTTTTTTTTTTTTTTTTCAATCACAACCACTGTGGTTTCCCATATTCTTTTAAAACATTGTCCATTCTTTGCGACTCATGCGGCAGCAACAATTACATACTATAAACTTACATCTGAAAAGTGGAGGAACATTTTTTTAGTTTTAAAACAGATTGCTGTTGCTGCTGTATTTTGAGGAAGTTATTTTTGTGTTACTCTCCAACAAGCACATTTTAATTACTGTGTCATGTTGTTGCACTATTTAGGATTACAGCTGTCATCACAATTAGCGCTATTTATTTACAGCCAGCTGCAAACTGCAGTAAATTAGTCATGGACTAACAGAACATTTTTCCAGAAAAGCCAAATTCTAGTCTTTTATTGCACTAGCAAAAGTTTTTTCAGAGGTAGATAACAGAGAAACAGAAAATGTATTTGGCAAAGTATTCAAAGCATCTCCATTTTGTTTTAAAGTTGCTTTTCAAGCAATTTGACAATTTGTATGTAGGGTCAGTAATAATTTAAGAGAAAAGTCTTTAAAATCATAACTAAATGAAAAGGAAGATTTTGTATTTTCTCAGCATACTGTAACCTGAAAAATGACTCATCACACACACACACACACAAAATATATACTACATTTATCAACATTAGCCACATATAAGCTGCACACACGCCACAGCAGCCTGTTCATTCTGTTTAAGCTTAAGTACAGCGGCGTCTTTTTCCCCTGCGGCATTCACACTGCCCGTGTTTTGGGAAAGCTGGAGAAACTCTGGACAGTGTCTCATGTCTGGAGCATGTTCGATGGTCCAAACACACCTTTAGACAAAAAGCGGGCAAAGCTCACAAAGAGGTGGCCAAAAACATAAGCAGAGGAAGACAGACTCCATCCATCATGGCAACTAAACAAACACGAGCAGGGCAGGAGCAGGGCAGGGCACAGAGAGCAGAGATGACCACTGTGTTGTACGGTGTGTATGTTTGATGCACACATCTGCTGGGAGTGTGAATACTATGGCAGGATGACCACCGACTTATACTGTATATGTTTTAATGCATATGTGTTTCTGTGTGTGTGGTCCCTGTATTTGTTGTGAATGTGAATGATAACGTAAGTGTGTGTGTAGGTTAGAAATGTTGGTAATTTTGTGTGTGTGTGTGTGTTTGTGTGTGACAACACAGGTTTCACAAAAATGTGAACTATCATAAAAAGCTAATAAAATATACCATGTACGAAAAATTTGAGAAATGAATTTTTGTGATATGAAAGAGTGGAGGTGACATGACCATAAACAGGCAATTGTTTGACACTGAAATAGTACAGTGGGCACTAAAGTCATTTCCCAGTTAATGCCTATACCTATTTTGACTATGAGAAAATTCATTTTCACCCACAGTTTAACATTTAAACAGTTTCTGTTTAACATTACAAAAACCTGCCACGAATCCAGCAAGAGTCTACACACAAATCTAAATGTATTTATCATCACAAACTGTGATAGTTTAAGCTCTGTGCTCCTCAGATTTCATAAGATTTACATATTCTTTATTTATATTCTGAAGATAAAAAGGTACATTAAGTAAGCTGAGGTAAGCTTACCCCACTCTGCATTCATGGTCAGTCAAAACCAAGGCATCGATGATGACACACACTCTACTATTTGAGTGTTGGAGATGCTGAAGATCTTTGGTTCCCAGCACCCAGCGGTCTACACTGAACGTCTGTTGTCAATAAATAAATCACAGATGAAGTCAGACTCCCGTATTTACACAGTGATTAAAACTCACGAGCCGCGGCACTTAAATGAACCTAAACAAAACAAATGAGTGCAAAGGTTTCCCCACACACGTGTGTACATGCTAGGACAAACGCTGAGCTAATCTTAGAAAACACACATGCACAGGCATTTACAGAGAGCTGAGGAGCATAAACACACATAAAGAACTTAAATACGTACCATAAAATCTCTACTTTCCCCCTTTTCTCATCACTGCAGAACACACTGAAAAAGCAAAAAACGACCAACGTTAGGTGCTCACAAGACGTGTTTGTTTGAACAATCTAAAAAAAATATCACAAAATCATCAATAGGCTAATACATATGCTAAAAGATTTGTGTTTGAAAAGGACAGGCCATCTGGTTTGATATAGGGGTGATGACTTTACTCTGTCAAGTACCCTAAAATCACACACTCATGCTTTTGTTGTTCTTACACACTGTTCTATTTATAATTTTGAAGAAGAAAGAATGATAGGCATTTATCATATTTTTTGCAGTTTCTGCCATCCCTCCAAAAGCCCTTCCCAGGATTTTTGTGCCCCTGGTATCAACCAGACTCTGGCACTCTCTAGCCTTATCAGCTCAAAGCATTAGGAATGTGGGTTTCTTTTCTCCTGCCCCTGAATGCGCACAAGACTCTAGACATGATCCTGTTTTCATGTTATAGCAGTCACAAGCTTTACCATCCATCAAATTTAGATTATTAACTATCATTAGCAACCTGTAGTTTTCCTGATTTATCCTGGAAAAGCTAAATCTCAAGCAGCTGCAGCAGTGGCAGCCTTAAAACTGCGAAACTCAGAAATCATGCAACATGACAGGATACCAGAGAGGGAGTGGATCTGACATTAGTGAGTCCAGCTGTCTCACTGCTGTTGAGGAGACAGTTTGTACTTTTCTCTTCAGTTCTGATTTATGTGAAATTCCAACACCCATGTGTAGGGGTACATTTAAGTTTGGGGAGATGGTAAACTCTTCCCTGACAGCTCTTTTGTATACAAAGCCTTGGTTCGGGGGTTTGATTCCCGCTAGGACGTGCAAATGCACTCACGAGGCTCTTTGGAAGTTTTCAGAAAGAAAAAAAAAATACGTGATCAAATGACACTTCAGATTATTACTTGCAGTAAAGAACTTCTAGAGATCACTAGTAAAATATTGATGCACTGCAGCAAGTTTTATCCAAGACTTTTTCTAGGGTAATCAAACATATTGTTCAAAAATTAAATATTGTTATATTGAAGAACTGCTGCTAAAAGCCTCCATAACATCCAACAAGACTGTTACCTCCTGAGACAGAATTGATGAGAAATGCGCCGACTGGCAGATGGGAATATTGCACAGGACTTCGAATTAACGTCCCTGGGTAAATAACTGACGGCAACACACAACACGCCTCCAAACCACCCAACCCCGGATCCCCCTGACTCAATCTCCGCTCGAAGCCTCATCCAAGAGTACCGTCTCGCTAACTATCAGAGGGAAAATCAAATATTTTGTTTTGAGCTTCACTAATATCAGCGTTTTTTACTCCACCCCTAATGGCATTTTTATTGATCGGCTTCTTAATGGCGGGCCCCATATATTTGACGGCGCTCATTTAAAGTAGAAGTGAGTAATAGCTGTCTGAGGGAAGGCTGTAAAGTGGCGTGTGTGTGTGTGTGTGTGTTTTTATCGTAGTCCGTCATTGGGGGTATGGAAGGAAGGGAATAGATGAAGGAGAAAGAGAGGAAGGAGGAGAAGGGGAAGAGATGGAGTTTTTAATTTACTGAGCAGAGGAGAGCAAAGGGAAGAAGGAGTGGAAGTGCAAACCGAGGCAGAGCAGGAAAAAGGGAGGCTTTAGGAAAGGGGGTGAAAGATACGCAGTAAAAACACATTTTCCATACCTAACAAAATTTGTACTAAAGCATTTCTGCAAACGCAACCGGTTTCACCTACACACACTCATACATCACCTCTACGCTTTCACAAACAAACCTCACAACCCCCTTTCTGTCCCCTCCTTCATCTCTCTCTCTCTCTCGCTCTCTCTTGCTCTCTCCATCCCTCCATCTCTCTCAGGTCATCAGCAAGCGAAACCACAACAAAGGGGGGCCGTTGCCGCGGTGACCTTGGCTGTGACATCATGTGGCGGCAGAAAGAAATGAAGCCATTAGGCCGAGGCAGCGCTTGCCCATAAATCAGACTGTTTCCAATAAGCTGCCTTAATGGTCATCCATCACCCCGCCAGCCAGCGCCCTCCGCACCCAACCGCCTGGGGAACGGCCACAGGGACGTAGGGGAGGGGGGTAATAATGGGGGAGAGAGAGGAGAAACAGCCCGGTTAAATTCTGGGGGATATGGGAGGAGAGAGAGGAAAGAGAGGAGTAGTAGGGATGTGGGACAGACAGGAAGGTGAGAAACCAAGCAGAGATGAGGGAGGGCAGAGATAGTAAGGAGAGAGCGATAAAGGACTGAAGGAGAGATGTGGATATAGGAGAAGGAGAAAGATAGATATGGGGTAAGATGGGTTAATGAGAAGCTGAAGAGGGCAGTTGAAGAAAAGAGAGGGAGAGGAGAGACAAAGAGCAGAGGCGGGAGATTGAAGGTAGAGAGAAGAGGAAAAAGAAGAGCAGTGGGGACAGAAATGAGGAGAGGGGGTAAATTTGAAGAAGGGATAGAAACTGGGGGAGTGACGGGGAGAGACAGAAGCACACCATATGAACTGAGGACAACACAGAGAGGAGGAAAAGAGAGAGACAGTAAAGTGAGAGAAAGTAATGGTGAGGGGTCTGGAGAAAGACAAGGGGAGAGAAAGGCAAATATCAGAAGAACAGAGGGACACAGACAGCTGATAGAGGAAGAGATAAAATAGGACAGCAGAGAAATGCAAGGGAAAACAAGAAGATTAAACTTGATAAGAGAGCAAACAAAATAAAATGAAGGTGGGATTGGAGGGGATAATTCAAGAGGGAAAATCCAATGGAAGACATTCACTGTGTTTTCACCTAAATGTGTTATACAAAATGTGATGTATTAAATTAGATGTCCAGATGCTTCATAGTCCCACAGTGCCAGGATAGGTGTAGAGCATTAACTCCTGCTGTGCACCTAATCATGATAACCACATCATTCACTTAGTGTACTGTCAATAATAATAGATCACCTCTGTGGGTTTTCTTCTGTATCTTTCCAACCCTATGACCAGACAAGAATGTCGACTCTACCACTAAACCACAACAAAGTTTTTAATGTCAAATGCCAACAATTTTCTTGCTTTGTACAATATCAGCATGTATAGTATTGTTAAGGTTAGGGAAAGGGCATGGTTATGGCAAGTACGCAAGTAGTGGCATTATCATTAGGTTCGTGTGAGGCAACTAAGACAACTGTTTAAAACTCCATCAGTCCATCCATGTCCGGAGGTCTGAGTGGGGGTTATGGCAGGGTTAGCCTCAAAATGGCAGGATTCAAACCCAGCAACAAAAAAACAACAACCTCCATACTGTAAAAATTCTTCACCTCAAAATTCATGTTAGAGTGACCGCTATCTTGATCCATGCCAATATACATGCTATCGCTATTCATCCGAATGATGACCTTGGCACATACACTAGAACAACAATCTGGTTGCCATGTTTGAGTAAGAACATTAAAGGGGAACTTGGGAACTCTAGCCATTTCTTCGCTGGTTTTCACTTTTGTTGTCGCATGTTTTCTCAACGAGCTCCACACTGTCATAAAAAAACTCAGTTGCGGCACCCTCCTCCCCCTTTCTACCGCTGCTAATGTGCATTTGTTGCCGGGCAACTTTTTCGTATGTATCAATGTCTACCCAGGTGGGTAATACATTCATCGTCGCTTGTTCTTATAGCCGGCGTGGCTAACCGGTATTTAGGGGGGCGTGTGCATTTATGTGGAATTGCCGTAAAGCAGTTTGGGTTTCTTGCTCGTTCACGCTTCTCACAATACTTCCTATTTCCAACTTAACGGACAGTAGTCCCAAAGTTGCAAGGTTGGTTTTCCGTGTGGGGACGCTAGGGGGAGCGGGGTAAGTCGCCATTTTAACTGGAACAGGCCATTTAACCATCCAAATGATTTCTAAACGGGTTTATTAAGTTGAAATAGTTGCCAAGTTCCCCATCAACCACAAACAGGAAGTAACACTGTCTGGAGGGGGCTTTAAAGAACCAGTGTGTAGGGTTTAGTGTCTGAATCTGCAGATTAAAATCCCCTCGCCTCACCCTCGTTCTGGGCTACTGTAGTAGAGAAGACCTTCTCCCTCTATAGATAAAAACAGTTCATTCTTCAAGTGATGAAAATACAACAATTCTTATTTTCAGGTGATTCTACCCTGATGAAAACACACCTATGAATATTGTATCCATCCATTGGGGTTGGTGTTTCAGCATCATATAGTAGCCTATTAGGTAGCATCTTGGAGCATTAGCTGACCTTAAAGATCCTATATATGAACTTTTTATGTCAAATGATATCAACACTACCTTGCAGAAATTGAATTTATAAATGTTACTCCAGGTCCTATTGTGCTATTATGGCTTTTAGGTGGTGCATTTAAGATTTCATCTTGTTTCTGTTAAATAGTGTAAAATGTGTTTAACACTACCTAAGAAAAAGCATTAAATGATAGTTTGAGTTTTTCCACTTTTCTTGTCATTTTGTTTCTGTCATGCTTGAATTATTTTTGCAACTTGAATCCTTGAATTTTTTACTCATGTTACTACATATTCCATTCATTAAGATATTTATTTGTTCCAGCCAGGCTGAAAACATTTGATAAATTGCAACATTTAAAAAGTTAGCTCATATTCACTTGACAATCAAATGGAAAATTACAGCAGTGTAGACAAAATACATGTATAAAAACCCTCAGAGAGAACAGAAGTATATCACTTGAAAACATCCTTGTGCTGTGGAAACATCCACAGGTGCCAAACCCCAAACCCCTGGTAGCTAACCATGGCTGCGGGAATTACTCCACACACTCCCAGTAGTAATGTCATCAGGAACCTGGTGTAACCAGCCCCGTTTGTAGCCCACACCACACCGGCCTCATGCTGAAAGGTTCAGTGTAAGTTATGACGCCTGTAGTCTGCAATTGTGGTTCAGCATCCTTACATTCATTCACTGGTTTGTTGGTTTGTTTTCCTTCCTTTCTTTTGCTATCTTTGCTCAAGGTTTATTCTTGATCCTGGCCTTATTCTCTAAATATTTTCAGTCACTCTTGTTCTCTCTTCACTTCATATCTTATCATTTAATTCCCTTCCTCCACTGCTCTCTTCACTCCCTCTCTGCGATGTGTGTGTGTGTGTGTGTGTGTGTGTGTGTGTGTGTGTTTGACCATATTCTCAAGGAAAACGAGAACCAATTTTGGCCAAAATCAACTCACCCAGAAGTCACTTTACAACCTGTGCTCTTATGAGCCCTGTAAATGCAAGCTGAAAAATGATGTGTGTGGTGCAGCTCTCCTCTTAGGTTTCCCCAAGTACAGCGGCCAAATTGTTTTCGCTAGGCTCTACGAGAGGCATTATCCATCATTTTGAATGAGCTCTATAATTGGGATTATAGGAGCAAAAGTGCAAAAATTTACTTTGAGAGTGATAGCATTACAAGTGGGCCTTTCAGATGAAATAAGAGGGTGAGTGTGTACTGTATGCCAGTGTTTTGGCACATGTTTGGTTAACACTGTGTAGCTCTCTGTGTGTATATGTACACTTTGTACACCATGTCTTTGTATATACATGTATCAATGTGTATGTGTGTGAAAATATATGAATTTATGTCTGTATGTCTTGTATTGTGCAAGCATTAACAAGCCCTCTGGATGTTGTGTCAGCACACACTGTGTATATGCCAAAAATAAGTTTGTATATGTGTATTTCTAACATATAGCTGCCTCTACTAAGTGTGTTACTAAAGGTTTAATACTCAGGTTTATTTTGGGTGATTCTTCTCTTCCATCATGGTACCCACAACTTTGAGAGTATTATCATGCTTAAATCACGGCCAGCTGCAAACAGCTGTGTGTATTCAGATTACATTTTTAGTTGCTAATTTAATTTAATTATTTTTGCCATCATAATGCTAAATTGGAGTCATGGTGAGAGTGGGAAAACCAAGAAAACCATCATCATTATTCCAATTTACACAGAGTCACCACCACTGCTAGCATTGTGCTCAACTCAGTTCATTTTATCATGTTGCATATTTGTAGGGCTCTTTAAAGATCTTTAAGTGTAACCACATAAAAACTAAGAGTTTATAGATCTTCTGTACTTAGCTATATTGATAGCATTAACATTGGATATTTGTATTTTAAATTCCCAATACGGAATACTGGAATTACAACTAGGGGCTGACGTGAACACTCAGCTGCTCGTAATTAGTGTTTGCGTGATATAACAAGAACACAGCAAGTAGTTCCATGTAATTAGACTTACTGCTGCTTGTGTAATTGAACAACATATTGGAAAATACCAAACAGCTGACAGCAGGGAAATGTTTCACAAGTACAGAATGCTTAAAGTCACGGTTTTAAAATTGCTGACCAAATTTTAAATCGAAACGTCATTGCACAAAGGACAAACATCTTCATCACAGGCATCCAGTTATACTCTCCATTACAGGACATTAATGGCCACCAGCCAGTCAGTCTGTGTAGCAAATTCTCAGTGGCCAAGGAATAAGTAAATTCCATCTCTCTATGTATTTTTTGTCTGCAAATGTATGCAGGCTAGGTGTGTCTGAAACCTGTTTGTATGTGTCTGTGTGTGTTGTTGTTGCTTTTTTTTCACTGTGAGTGCTCTGCTGTGGAGTGTGTGTGCAGAGCAGCCAGGCAGGCAAACACCAGCCCAGCGGGTACTATTTTATTCATGGCGGGTAATCCCTGCTCTACACCTCCTTAATCTGCTGCCATGGAGTGTTTGCCCAGAGTTCAGCCCCACTCCACCTCCTCTGATTCCCTGTTAGTCTCTCAGGCTGTATAGTCCAATTCTCATTTCTCCCCTCCAGTGTGACAGAGATCTGATGGTTTCCTAGTGTAGCTTCATGTTTTTAGTTTTTAACAGGTTGTATGAAGTTAAAAATGACCTGCTGCATATAAAACATTGCTGTCCTTTGGTCAAAATTCCTAGTTGGGGCAAACTTTATGTGCTCAGAAAGATTTAGTAATACAAATCATTTCTAAAGAAAAGCCTTCAAAATGTCATTAAGGTCTATAGTGTGGAGATAGACCTGCACTTTGAGTGCAGATGTTGCAACGCTACTACTGGCCAGTGTGTCTTTGGAGGATGAGATTGTTATTATTAGAGGATTATGTGTCGATTAGTTTTCCTGATAAATTAATTAAACAGTTTAGTGTATACATTTTCAGAAAATGCTTAAAAGCGCTCAATTTGCAATGATGTGAAACAGAAATGCAGCTAATCCTCAAATTTGTAAAGCTGGTACCAATATAAAATCTTAAAGTCTTTGTCAAATAATTTTCTGTTGATCCACCAATTAATGAGTCATTTCATCACTAGTTATTAGTCAGCACTGGCATGAATAATGACGAGTTACAAGAATGAAAGGAAAGAAAAAAGCCAGCATGATGCCTGAATTCAGTCAAAACTGGAAGGAAGAAAACTTCACTGAAATGTGTTCAAAATAAGCAAAGAACAAAAACAGATGTCATGTCTTTACTTAATCTACACACACATGTCCTTTCAACATTTGTGTCAGTTTATATTAATATTGGATGTGGCTTCCATGCTAAAATACATTTGAACAGTGATCCAAAACTATCAGATGTGGAGAGCACCTTAGAAAAGAGCACTAAGTCTTGAGGCCTGCACTGTTGACTTTTATTCTCCTCTCTTTCTCTCAACCACACTTTTTCCTTTCTCTCATCTCTCTAGGCACCAGTCTTCAGTTATTATCCCCCTCACGCTCTCTCTCTCACACACACACACACACACACACACACACACACACACACACAAACTTGGGACCTCGGTGGCCCTTCTCAGCTGGTACAGAGCCCCATATGGTCTAACTCCTGTTGTTATTGTTGTTGTTTGGCTCCCTGGCTCATTTGACGTGTGGACCCATGACAGTGTCCAGGACCCCTTCCAAGTTCTGCCTGGTGCCCCTTTGTGTGTGGGTGTGTGTGCACATATATGTGTGTATATCAGTGAGCTTGTTTCCCTGTGTGATACAGTACAATTATATGATATGGGATCTATTGCATGTTGTTGTGTTTGTGTTAGCATATGTATTTGTGTATTTTTTAGGATTTTAACATGTGCGTGTGTGTTTCTGTATGTCAGGGGTGAGTTTTACCATCAGTAGTAAATGTAGTTATTTCTGTGTGTGTGAGTGAACTTCTACCTTTCTGAGGACCTTGTGCCACCACTAGACCTTCAGGACATTTTTGGAAAGTGAACCTATTTCGGTCCTCACCTCTTCAAAGGGCTGCTTGAGGGTTAAGACTTGGCTTTAGGGTTAAGGTTGGAATTAGGTTAAGGTTAGGGTTAGGACTGGTAAATGCAATACATCAGCAAGGGTTCTCACTACTGTGTCTATGTGAGAATTCAGCTCTTACAAAAAGTATTCACACAGTCCGATTTGGACCAGAAGCCACCCACGATGCCACCCCTCCCTCTCTCTCTCTCACTCTCTCTCTCTCACACACATACAGTACATTGTAATGAAAGCTATATTTTAAATAATCAGTATTTTCCCATTTATTTTATCAGGAACCAATTTCACATTCACTCTAATATCCTCCAAAACACTGAATAATGTTTTGGCACATGTATAAACACTGTATGTTACACTCAATAGCCAGGATACAATTAATGCCAAACCACACACACAATGTGATTTTAGTGAAGGCATGCAAAATCTTATCTTACTTACCTTTGTTGTCGGCACGCTTAGGTTCAGTTTCCACAGTAATATCCAGAAAATGTTCTTTATGAAGCACAAATTGACATGAGTAGGCTAAAAGGTGTCACCAAAATATGACCTTACAAATAATTTGTGCTACTGTTTGGAATTCTCCTGCATGTAAACACAAGGAGGGTGGGTCTGTACTGTGTTACATGTGATTTTTGGCCATCTGTCCACTAAGCATGCCGCCCACATTGCCTCTCCACATTCTGATGAGCTACAAGGACACATTATCTCCACTTAGCCCTTCGCCACTTGGCAACTGCAAGAACCATAACAACCAGTCTTTATAAAAACCCACTTTAAGCCACAGCTCTTATTGCTTTTGGAACATGAGGCAACACACTCAGGGCTTTCCAGACCTTCCTCTCTTTCTGGTTATGCCGGACTGAGCCCTTTCCAAGACCTCCTCCTCTAAAAGTCTTTGGTTTTCATCGCTGTAGAAATGTATTCAGGGAGACATTTATCAGCGAACTGACTGCCACTGGAGACCGCATTGGCGGCCATTTTACAGGCCTGGTCAGGGAAAACAGGAAAAGGGAACTTCACTGTGAGAGAATGACATTTACATGTATATTTACATTTAGTCACAGCTGTTGTCGAATGGAAGCAACCCCAAGCAACTGAGCGGGAAGACTAGAAAGGTCACAGCCTGATGTATACATTAATGCTTTATTAGCTTAGCTTTAGTGTTAGCAGTATCTACAGTCAGGCATGTTCTAGCTTCTACCATTAGTTTTGGAAATTAAAACAAATTAAATATATTTATTAACATATCATACAAGATATTAGTCCATTTGAAGAGTGTTTGGGAAGCAATAATTTAAGAGACACGTTTAGTAAGCTGCTGAATAATTTTATGAATTTTGGTAGAAAATGTATTCCTAGAGTCGGGGTGAAAAAATTTGTTGAAGAAAAAAATCTAACTTTATTGTCTGGACACACTGACCTAAAATTTCAAGACTCAAGGTGTTTATCTTCTCTTTAACATGCTGCACAAATGAGAGATTGTTGTACTTTTATGCTGCTTTGTATTGGTGCCAGTTTTTCTCATTTTGTTGCTTCTCCCCTCATAATAAATTACATCTACTTTGTGACAAATGCAAACATTCAGCGGCAACCTCAAAAGACTAAAAGCACATTTCATCGTCTTTTTTCAACGTACAAGTGATACAAACTGACTGTTGAGCGAAATGAATGCAAAATGCCTGCTGTGTTTAAGTCTGAGATGCTCATTTTGCTCATTTAATGTGTTAGATTACATAATTACTTCTTTCCTACAAAGAACTGCAGCTGTGATAGTTCCCTGTTAATTACATTAGCTAACACGTTTTTCTACATTTAAATAATTCTCCCAAATAACATATCTTATCTCCAGAGATGCACATGGCAATGATTCAATTACAGAGTACAGATGAGGAATTTAAAAAAAAACAGCGGTAGATAATGCAGTTGGCAAACACTTCTGCTTCACCTTTTATATTTGAAATCTCTACACACCAGTTTTCTATTTATTTATTTTTCTCATTGAACATCATTGTCTCTGGTCACTGGAGGCTGAAGATACAGTTTTATTCAGTGTAATCCTGAGCCTTTAATGTTGATGCCTGCACACAGCTTCCAACAACAGACACTGTCAATATCTGTGCAGAAAAACTCCTGACAAAATGATAAATGACACACACACAACAGCCCCTGCACATAAATACTGTACACAAAAACACACATCGGCTTTTACACCTACACACATATGCATATAAAAAACACCTCCACAAGCTTCCCTTCAAAATTACATTGGTTGAGTGCAGGCGCTGGCCTTAGAAACCACAGCCACCACCCCCTCACCTCCAAACTCCCCTTCATGTCCCTCTCAGGAGCCAAAATGGCGTCCATAAATCAAGGAGCTAGATGTAATCTGCAGTGTCCAGAATGCAAGGGGCGAGGCTGCCGAGCATAATGCGACTGGTTCTCCATTGTCATTCAGGCGCAGGCAGCAGCACAGAGAGCCTTGCCTGCACCTGATAAGGGTCCACTCAAAGTGAGCCATAAATCACAGACCGTGCCAACGGTTACTCCGCTGATTTCACACACTGAAGCAGAGCCGGAGTGTGTGAGAGGTAGAGAGAGGGGAGGAATAAAACACAAAGAGTATGGAGAAAGTGGTTTAGAATATGAGTGGTAGATGGCCAGAGATGAGGATGAAAATGTGAGCATAAAGAAGAAAGAGAACACTTTAGAGAGGAAGAGGAGAAGAAAAAGCCAAGAATGAGAGATGGTGTGGGAAGGAGGGAATATGAGGGAAAAGAGGAAAGAAGGGAGGGAATGATAGATCTGCAATTTACTCCCCTATCTCATCTGGCAAGAAGTTTCTCCACACAAAAGGCCTGACCTTCAGGAAATAAACACCTCGCTCTCCCAGAGAGCTCTGCTGATGTCTGCGCTGCATGTCAATTCCATCAGCGGGTCTCAGGACAGAGCTAAAAGGAATACACAGAGTTTTGGAAAATAAACTATTTTACCCAAAATAGTCCATGAAAAACAACAACAACAATTTGATGGTTTTAGTGTGTTACCGCATACTTCTTGTAAAATGTTTTGGTTGTTTAGATCAGGCAGTAATTTGGTTTTGTGATTTGTCAGGTTATGTAAAATATGGTCAATGTTGTCATACCGATGATATGATGAAATTCTGTTGCACAGTGATTTCTGTTCAAACCGCTAATGGTTAGGGTTCATTGGTGGTCATGGTTAAAAAAAACAACAACGTTGAATGTCGGTAGGAAACGGGAGGTGAACAACATTCTCCCTGTCACAATTCCTATAGCCATTAGAAGGCTTTGTCACTGTAAGCCTATGTTGTTATTGGCTGTTTGCTGGAACACTCGTTTTTTTTCTAGTAAAAGAGAAGTTGTATTGATACTATACAAAGCTAATATACATATACACTACCATATGTGGTCTGCCATGAATATTTAATAATATATATAATAAATATATATCATAGACTGTGCTTTATACCATTCTATAAAAAGAGCCCTAATGAAGACGCTGTGCGACATTGAGTGAGTTGAATAAAGTGCTGATTTTACCAGTAAATCCTTTGCTAAGCAGTTTTACACATTTGGTTTTCCTGTCAACTCGACTAATGAAGTAGCAATACATAAATAGTCTATAAAATGCCACAACATTGCTTTTTTTCACATATTTTGCGAGAAAAAAAAAATGCAAAAGACTTTTGCACAGCAGGGTAAAAACGGATGTTACCAATGATACAAATTAAGGTTATGTTCCATTTTGTGTAGCAGAGCCTCTTCAGTGAGCCAGCATGCATGATAGCAGCACCCTGACTGTGTTTAATGTAAATGGAATGGAACCTTAATTAGTATCACTGGTGACAGCTGTGTTTACCCTACTATTTCATGTAAAAATGGCTGCTGTGAAAAGGTCTATTGTTTAACTAATGACATGTTTTAAATATTGACATTGGTTATTCCCTGCTTTTGAGTAAAAAATAAATAAATTACTGTTGAATAGATGTGGGCTTTCAAAATGGCTTATATAACCAATTTTATTAGATTAAATTTGATAAGGGAGCTCTATCCCATCATAATCAAGATGCTGAATCCTTAATGAAATCATCCAATCAGTCAATTGAATTCCTCAGTTCTAAGTATATTTTATTTTATATATTTTTATCACTCAATCAAAAACATTGAGGTCATTCTGTAGTCAAAACTAAATGTCAAAGTGAACATCCTGATGGCCACATGAGCAAGCTTAAAAATCCACCTTTCTCGAACATAAAATCTACCTTCCAAACTAAAATCCTGGAACCAAGTCTGAGAAATTCATTCAGCTGAGAGTGATCTCTCCTCGAGCCCTTCCATCTGAACAAGAGATTTCATTCTTTGTGTCTCATCCTAATCACACTACCCCCATCGCTCCACCTCGACTGGCAGCTCTCACTCTCACTAGCCTCTATTCAATCATCCCCTTATACCTTATTCATATGCTAAACCCCTATAGCAGAGCCCCTTTGGCCAAGCGCACTGTGAGATAGATGTTAACATGTGTAATCCCCCATTAACGCATACGAGACAACATATCGTCGGCGGACGCCCACTCTCCCCGTGGGATTAGCCCTCTCAGAGTGGAGGGGTTGATGGGTAATGGTTCAGAGAAGCTCCTCTCAGTTTCAAAAGGCACCCTCCCTCCCGCCTGCCCTCCACCCCTGGAGTTTGAGTTGAGATCACTGAGGGTAAGTGTGTTTGCCTGAAGGATTTAACTGATTGTGAAGAGTGATGGTATTTCTAAGACTATTCATTTCTATCTAAAGCCCTACAGGAGCGGTTTTGATTTATTACAACAAAAACAGACAAATAAATGCTGCAGATTAAAGAAAGCAGTTGACGTAGCAGTTAGCTTTGCATGTAGGAAATGTGACTCTTGTGCTGGTAAAGCTACACTGTGTATTTGTATGTGAAACATCTGTATTACATGTGTCTCATCTACTTGCAGTTTAACTGCCCTATATAATTATGTGAAAAGAGTTTACAACCTTGTAGCACAAAATGATTATATCTTCACAGGGCCGATATGGTTACTGATTAATAACAGTGATCAGTGGGGAAATGACCAGATTCCCCAACTACTTTCCCACTATGTAGTCTATTTTTAAAGCAAAGCTGTAATACATGTATCTTTTAAGCCAAACTTTTTTAATAACATGATGTTTAAAGGTGGTACCATCAGCTCCATATGCATGGGATGTCTTCTTAAACTGATACCATGGTAATGAGAAGTTTGCTGTAAAACAAACTAAAGACATTTTTATGTAATGCCACTGTGAAAGAAGTAATTATCTTAAACTACTGGAGTCTGATACAACAGGCCTATAATAAATCCTACCTTCATGAAGGTTAATTAATGTCAGTGTTGTCAAAACTGTTTTAGAGTACTGATACTTAAAGGCAACACACACCAGCAGCATGTGACACTGACTATGTAGAAGCCTGCAGACTGCCAGCGTAAAGATGTGGGAGAGATACACCACTGCCCTATTTCCTGGCATCAAGGCTCTAGAAAGTGTTTTAGCTGTCAGACCCCAACCCTGCCTTAACCATATAAGGTTATTTACCATATTCACAGTCTTTCTCTAACATAACTGTTGTTGCCACACACAGATATCGCAGAAAGCGAGATCCTTAAAAACTATTGCAATGGACATAATCAAGTTTATTTTATTTTATTTATAAATTTTTCTTGTTTGGCTTTGATTGCCTTTAATTGATAATGACAGCTGAAGAGTGACAGGAAAGGGAGGGAGAGAGAGAGAGAGAGGGGATGACACAGATCAAAGGGATAGAAACTCAGACTCAGCGTTGGTACATGGGGCGCCAGCTCTACCAGGTGAGCTATCCGGGCTGCAACTTTTCGCAGAATTGTTCAATATTGACTTTCTTGTCAAGTGGTAGGGATCCTAAAAAAAAAGGAATTTTATCACTTTCCCTTTCAGGATTGGCACATCCAGGCTACACTGAATACCTGCAGTCTGTATGGCATGTCTGTGTGTCCTATGGGTATCAAATCTGTATATTTTATATTGTTATTATTTTATTATTGTGAGGCAATGAGGCAAATATAATTTTTTTTCATGATGACTACACCTGTTACATCTATGAAAACCAGTGATGGGAATAACGGCGTTATAAATAACGGCGTTATAAATAACGGCGTTACTAACGGCGTTACTTTTTTCAGTAACGAGTAATCTAATTGATTACTCTTCCCATCTTAATAACACCGTTACCGTTACTGCCAAAAATACTATATACTATAATTGAAGCTGTTTTTTTCATCAGACCAACTAGATCTCTGAGCCAGATCTCTGAGCCGAGAGGCAAAGACTTTTTTTTACTGTTCTTCCTTGGTTAGTGGGCAGTGCACGAGACAAGCGCATAAATGCTGACGATTGGCTGAGGTTGAGTAAAATTTCATGGTAAGCCAATCAGAGGTAGAGTTGGGCAGGTGTTCGAAAGCACGCATAGTCGGACACACAACGAACAACACAAGTGAGTCAGTCAACGAGAGACAGGTATGGCGAGTTGTGTTGCATCTTATTACATTTGCACTAAAAAGAGTGTATATATTTTTTCTATACATTTTTGGTACATTGCTTAAAGAGCATAATTCAATTTAGATTTATTTGTTGGCTGGCTGCAGCCTCTTGAAGTGAGATTGTCAATGGCCAGAGAAAGAGATTTATTTTTATGGAGATGTATTTTTTTATTTCTTATGTATTACCTGTTTATATTTGGATTCCTTAGTTTTGCTATACATTGTACTTTTCAGTTAGATTGAAAGCACCTCATATTGTTACACTGTTCTACTTTTTCAAGGAAGAAAATACTTGAAGTACAGTATATCTACGAATTGTCTGAAGTTTTTTTTTGTTTTATTTGCACTACAAAGAGTGTATATATTTGTTATTTATTTTTGGTATAGTGCTGAACAAGCATAATTTAATTTTGCCCAGTTGTGGCCTGTTGAGGGGCAATAAATATCAAAAGTTCCAAAACATCCATTGTGTTATTTGTATCGATCCACTATATAAACATAATATCTACATCCATGGCATTTGATTGGAGGCTAGTCTCACTTTGTCCGACAGCAACATTAAAATAGTTTAGACTTGTGTACATTGTTTCTGTTAATAATGTATTGTATTAAGTGTCCATTTCATTATAATATTCAGATTTATCATAAATAATTGAACATGCACATGTATTTTAAGTTCCGTTAAAGAGGGGTGGAGGTGGGGGTTATAATTTGTAACTGAGTAACTAATTTAGTTACTTTTTGGAAGAAGTAACTAGTAACTGTAACTAATTACTTTTTAAAAGTAACTTGCCCAACACTGATGAAAACTAATTGGGATCATGATAAACTACTCTCTACACAAGTAGAATAACAACATAAGTAACTTACTCGATTTAACTGCATTAAAAGAGCAAACTTTAATGACCTAGTACACTCTCTTTTATAATGAGTTGGGATGAAGTTACTGTACATGACATCACCAAAGTAGTGGTGTCCAAAAACCTGTTAATTGCAGTTGCCCTGTCGTTACAAGCCAAGTTCTTCACACATGAAAGACTGCACATCCTCTACTCTCAGGAGGAGTGCAGCTCAAACAGCAGTTACATCATGTCTGTGGAGTGAGACGCTGTTTCAGGTTGGCCTGTTTGTGAATGGGACCTGTAAGCACACCTCATTGGGTTTCACATTATGTACCCTAATCCAGCCAGAGACTATCAAAGGAAACATTAGATGGAAGACCTTGAAAAGTTTTGCGACATTGTAGTGTGCTGCTCCTCTTGGACTAGCTTCAAAGTGCAGGCCTGTTTCTGAGAGGAGGTGCTGATTTTCTGGCTGCTGGGTCACTTTTGTCCTGCCAACAGTAACTGGATTATCTGGAAAACTTCTCATGCTGCAGGAAGTTTTTATAATATCTGTTTGATTTCCGTAAATTAATTGGAAAGTGTTGGATTTTAATATTTTTATATATTGGATATATTTCTTAATGGCATGTAAAACACATTGGAGAGATGTTGTGACTGAATGTGCAGCAGACTAACAAAATGATATGGTGAAGTAAAAAACAAGGGTAAGTTCGTGATGACAATATTAACTTAACATTGGAGAATATAGTTTTGGTTTGGCTGAGTTCAGTTGAGAAAGTATCCATTAAAATCATGCAATAACACTAAAAGAAAAGTGCTTGAAAACCCAGAGGTTTTGTGGTGGGACCGCCTCTAAATGCTCCCAAATCCATTCAGAATGACATCAACAAAAATATGAAAGTCTGAGGGTGTTACTACCTCAAACTGTAAAATTCCTTTCTTCCCTCCCTTTATCCTTCCCTTACTCTCTCTGGAAATGTGAAATTAGCTGAAACATGAGGACAATTACAAGAAGGCCTAGCATAAAGACTGGGGGACTGGGAAAATAAACTGATCACAGACCCCTGAACAAATCTGGTTTACTTTACAAAGCCTCCTCTGAACTCCTGCCAACGTTTCCCTCGTCTAGATAATTTCTCCCTGAGCAGTTTCATGTTTACACCTTGAAAATCGCTGGATGATCAAGAGGGAAAAGACTCCGACGCATTCCCTTCCTTTGTTCTGCCAGAGGACGCTCGGCTGAGCATCACACCTCAAAAGTAACATTAGAAATATCTAATTGGGTAAAAATATGCAGGTCATCCTTTTGAAGTTTTTTTTCCCCCTCTTTGTGGTTTTTGCTCTCCCTCCCATTTACAGTAAATCTGTGGGAAAAAACACCCAGTAAGCTATCTTCTTCAGTGTCTCTTATTTAAGACCGGGTCCAGTTTTTTTTTTTTTTTTTCAGCAGCTAAGACCGTTGAGGCGTTTTATAGCTTTTCTCATTACTGCATTTTCCAAACAGTGTGCGAGGGGCAGTGGTGCATGGTTGAATTATTCAGGGGTACTGGGGATAATGGCACAGGGCTGATATGTTATACTGCACTGCTGTAAGGGGTCCTGCGAGGGACGTCAGCGGACTGCCATGTCAGAGTGTAAACCGGCTTTTATAACATACTGAGAGATGGAAAAGAAACAATAAAGAGCTCCAGATGAAAGCTTTATTTAGTAAAACAGAAGCCAGAGAAAGCAACTCGGGTCTCTTAATCTGTACAGTCGAGTTCTCACTAAAGACACAGTCTGCCTTGTGACTGATTTTACAAAGCAATAGATGAAATATTTTGTTTAACTAAGCACTGGATAACACAGATGAAAGAAAGTAACACCTGAATACAAGTTTAATATGTTATATATTGTAATGAGTATAAATCTTATATATTTATATGACTGTTAAAGGTTTATATGGCAGATCAAGAAGTTTGAAGGCTAATATCATTCCTGCTAATTTTGCCCAATTCGTCAAACACTTTTAGAGCACAATATTTCAATCATCACTGGTCCAACTGGCATAAATTTGGCATGATTATTCAGGGTAATTCTCGATATTTTTGGTGACCACCTGTCCTTTTGTTTAGCACCATGATTAAACCAGAACTTGCGTACAAAAAGACAAATATGAAAATGCAATTGGGAAATTGCTATGAAATTCAGTGAGCACATTCATGCTCCCAAACAGACAAACATTTTGAAAACTACATGAGTTTTCTTGCTCCTTTCTCAGGCCAAACTGTCACCTTTACACACAAGATATCTCATAACATAATTGTCAGATTTGCTATTCATGCTCCAAAGGCAGTCCTAACACCTATGCATTATGTTCATATGCAAAAACAAACGCTTAAAGGTCAAAATGTTGTTTTTGGCTTGTCCCACAAGCTAGGTAATGGAACATGAATAGCCCGCAGACACACGGTGCTATGAGGTGTGTGAGCTGAGGTGGCAGCATATGGCTTTAGTGCATGACAGTCATGCACAAAACCTACAGTGTACACCATATGTGAGTGTATTTTGTATGCTCAGTGTATACAGCCTCAGAGCTTAATGGCTGTAACAATTATACATACCTCATCTGATCCTGAATCACAGAAGACTTGGTTTCACTCCAGCATGATTCAATCAGCTGCAGCGTGTCTGCCGTCTCTGAAAAGATAAATTATGCTATTACCGCTCTGAACTGGAGCACTGTGCGCTTAGAAAACAGTAAAGCTACATTGGACTTTAAAGAAAATGTCACTAATTACCCACTTTTTGTTTAGGATAATATTGTTAAGTCATTCATCATTGCAAAGGGTGCCACTGCAGCTGAGGAATTATGGAGAGCCAGGTTTTTTTTTTTTGCCTCATGGCACTATATATCCAGGATATTTTGTCCTCTTTTAAATTCCTTACACTGAGGTTGTATTCTACAATGAGATGTGCACCATCTGCAAGATTCAACAGCTACACTGACAAAATGCGATAATAGGAAATCTAATCCACCATATAATATTATTGCATGTATTGAGCGTTTTGACCTGCATTTACTTTCAACATAGTAACATTTTATGGGCAGCTGTTCAATCACTCATTCCTTTAAAAGAAGGTACAATATAAATTCCATATAACATGTTATTTTGACATGGGTGTATGGGGTTACAAACTATTACAACTCAACAGTGCACCCCCACTGAACTCATTCATAAATACTTCAAATCACTTTACATAGCTGTAAAACCTGTATTGCAACATTTCACTTCCCCTCAGTGGCTATGGAAATCTCCCCCGACCGGGTCTATTTTTTTTCACACCCCTACTCATTTCATTTTGATGCTAGCATGTGATGGAGGCACAGCATGGCAGCGTTCACATTTCCAATAAGGTTGGCACAATGTGGCTCTGGACTATTAATATCCAACAATGCCATGGCCACAGTGGTGGCATCTGTCTTCCTAAGCCTCCCCATTTCCTCCACCTCTCCCCACACCGCCGCCTGTCTCATCCTCCTCACCTCTTCTCATCCCCCACCCCTTCCCTCTCCTCTCCCTTCCTCCTTCTTCATCTCGCTCAGATGGGCTGTGCAGTCTTGCAGTACGACACACAGTTCGGTGTAAGGCAGTTGAACTGTTGCCAGCAGCCACATGCTGCTCCGGCTATTTCCATCACTGAAGAGTAAATGAACAGAAATTGCAGAATATGCGTCAACTTCCTTCAAAATCGGGGCAGCTGGGAATCTTAAAATTTCTCTAAAATCTTCAACAGAAGGAGCAAGGCCAAAATGTCAACTGTCACAAATGAATATTCATGTCAGCTAAATATATTAATTTCTGTCTTCCAAATCTGCAAGATACTTTAATACTTAATTTTATATCAGCTTTAGATGGGAGCAAATTGGACATCTATTTATGTGGGAATGTTGCAGATTATAACTGTAATATGAGTCTGGAATACATTGGCTTTCACATCAAACAAATATTCCTTTACAAAGGCCATCAACACCAGTGTTTTATGTTCAAGCCAGCACTTCATACTAATGCTATCTTAGGACTCAGTTTGCATTTATTATGAGAAACATTTTGGACAACTGTCCGGCTGCTCATGGCGCTCGCATTTCATTAGTTTCACTTGTGCTTTAATTGATCTTTATTTCCCTTGATTATGATCATAATTAAACACCAGAAAGCTGTTCAAGCTACCAGCCATCTGCCAGGTTGGATGATGGGCACCATCAGCGTGGGTATATGGGTACAAGGCCACCATGGTGCACTCTGCCGAGACCTGTGCCTGAAAATGCCCCCTTGAATGTGTAATCATAAGGTCATCTGCATTTCTACTGTTTATGTTTACAGCAATGCACTATATTTTTGTGCAGAGGATCATTGGTTATCCCCTATAAAGTTTTTTAGAGAATTTGAATATGTTTATTTCAGTGTGGCATTTCTGCTTTAATTAAGAGTTCAGGGAATGAGAGATGAAAGTAGAGTGCATTGTAATGAGACAGAGACAGATTTGTCATGTGTTCACCTCTCACCTTTGTCAAAAATACAGGTAAGTGCTCCATGTGATTGCTGCTGTAAGTGCAGTATCGCTTATCACACAACACATTTTTTATGATGTCAACCAACATCTTCACCAGAACTCCCTTCTTAATGCTCCTAAGTGCCTGTCTGCTGATTACTCTGGTTATGTTTAAAGGCCGTGCAACATGGAGTAAGCATATCTATCTAGAAAACCCGAAGAAGACATTTCTGGGCAGAATTAGCACCATCAACTCTTGACCTCTTTAATTGAATAAGTTAAGGTAGTCGGATCCCAAGGTTAGGTGAGCCTAATTTTGAGAATGGGGCCGCACTGCCAACATATGGCTTGGATAGAGTCAATTATACCCCCTGAAAGCATAAACAACCTATCCTGGCTGATAACTTTGCAGGATTTCTCTGCAATGTAGATGAATATGGAAAGCATCTGATAAGAGCATGTGATAAAATGAGGTCATGTGACCTACACTAACAGGATGTAAAACTGCCTCACCAATTTAAACTCCTTGCTGCAGCCATCCTGATGAAAAAGGTTGCGGATCAAAGATATCAATAGTCATCCAGTCAAAAGGCCATATCCTCATGATGAAAAAAGATGCCATTAAAAACATCTACTTTACATTTTGATTTTCTTCGGATTATGTCCTCGCATTAGATTTATACTCATTCCAATATTTATTGTCCGAGCTCCACGCAGCTCAAATCGAGTTATGAACTTAATCAATCTGTGCTCTCCTGCATTGACTGTTTTATGATTGGCCGAGGTCACCAGGTTTTATTGACCCGATAACCTTAGATGAAAATGGCTGTGCGTATTTGACTAGGAGTGGGAGAAATGGGCAGGGCAAAAATATAGAGCTGCACAAATCCGTCTCATCTCGGTAGCATCGACTAGTTAAACGCATCATAAATGAGAGCTGACGTGAACTAATTTCTTCCGGTGCGTTCTCTGATCCCTTCACTATCGTTGGCTGACTGTGAAGAGCAGTCCATAAAGACAGTCATATAGAATATCTGGTGTGTAAATCTGGGCTGGGGTGAGGAGGTAGACCCTGCATGAAGAGTGATGGATGAGGTAGGAATCCTGCCCTTTCTCTCTCTCTTACTCCTGATCTCTGCGGCCTATTCCATCTCCTTCCACTGGGATAAGGAGAGACATGCCTGCATTCCTGACCTCCATAAGGAAACAAGGCGCTGTTGCTACAGCTGCATGCTGAGCAGGCCCTCACCCGTTGGGAGCAGGAATGGCTCTGCAGCAGGTTTGGGGAGTTTCATTCTCGGCCAACAGATCATTGAGCAGACGCTTCATTTGGTGAATTGTAGAGGTGAAGAGATGGAGGATAGGAAAGATTTCAGTGTCTACAAGATACAACAAATAAGTACATGGAGAGAAAAGGAGATGAATTCATCCATGAAAAGGGTTTGGATACGTTTATCTAAACAGACAGATCTACTCTATAAACCATAGACTTTAAACTTAAAGATGTGGAATAAAAAACATTGGCGTTGAACATTTTCTGGGGTTTTGCTGCCAATATTGACGTTCTTGTCTGGGGACTGGGAAAACGTGCATCTTCAGTGGTGACATCATGCTGCATTCAAAGCTGTAACTAAAAAGTCCAAATAATGACATCATTTTTGAACAATCCTGCCTTTCTGGCATCCTATCAAATCAATCTGCCTTTAACAACATAAGCAATTGACCATTGTTTTACAATTACAATGTTTAACCCTCATCATTGAATATCATACCCCAACAGCCTATTTCAACAGGAACTGCATCACATTAAAGAAGGAATGATACAATTTCATTAGACATTTAAGCTGTTTAAACTACCACTGCTGCTGTTTTTGGACAATAGGTGGAATATTTAGATGTGGGTCTGTTACTCGTCACCATGCTGTATGAAGACGGTGAACCCATCATATGGTATTCTGCTGCCACTGCTGTGGCCCCTTCAGCATTAACACATATGGCTTTCCTTAGATCATTACTTCCATTAAGTCATTAAGCCTCGGCCTAAGCGAGGCCTGTTAGTTAGTCACATTAAAGAGTTAACACTTTCCGTCTCCACAACCCAATGGGCTGACACGTCTGCCGTGGCAACTGACACATCGCTCCATCCCCATAATTAGGAAAATTGCTCTTAACAGGTCCACCGTTTAGTAATGGTCTCATTTCTTCCATCTCGCTCTGACGAGAGCAAACTGCAAGAAGATGTCCCCATTAACTCTTTGCACCAAGGCTAAACCCCTCCTGTGTCCATTCAACATGGTCTGATCGGTCACCCCCCCCCCCACACACACACACACACACATGCACACACACACACGCACTTCTTTCTAATGGTCTTAATGAGCCAACCCATGGCCTGTTCTCCTTACAGATCTTTAACATATTTTTGGAGACCTTTGATCGAACAGCTATCATTTTAGACTTTTGGGGGGGGGAGTTAATGCTATATGTGAGGAGGGGAGAGGGCAATTTGGGAAGAATGAAGGATGGTGAGACGATTCGGCGGAGAATAACACGCCAAGCTTTCATCTTGTCCCCCACCCCCTCCAACAAGCACCCAGTCCTCCATCCCTTCATCTCACCCCCCCATCCGTTCTCCACCACCACCACCACCACCACAACCCCCCCTCCCCCCACTTCTCTGACCAAATTAAATTGAAACCAGATGGAGCAGGGCCTGGACTGTGCGTTGTGTCAGATTGTCATGGCGCATTAACCATGATTTCACATTGAGACGGTCTGCCTGGCCAGAAAAAAAAGAGTGACGAGAGACAGAGGGAGAAAGATAGACGGATAGAGATGGAGAGAAGAGGAGCTCAAAAGATAGACAGAGACGAGAAGAGGAGAGAGAGATTTTCAGAGAGAAAGAGAGAGGGAAAGAGAGGGGACTGATGAATGTGGTCCTGCTGCCAACAGATCAATCCCACTGATCGCACAGCTGGCACAGGCTGATGATATGAACGCCATATGACATTGAGACAGGCCTGCAACAGGGAGGCTCAGGATGGTGCCATACCTTTACAGATAGGATTTAACATAAATCTGAATCCAAATCCAATAATCATTTCATTAACATCTGCATATCGCCATGAAAGTAAATCTCCTTTTGG